CGCACACGGTGTTCCACCTGTCAACAGTAATGTTGCCTTTAATTATTTGGGAAGTGGAGGACAAATTGCCATAAATGTTTCATCGCAACGTGCGAATGGGAACAGTGGACTTTTTTAAATGTGGCAGCTGTCTTAGATCTGATATGAAATTGACTGGGATTTGTCCGTCTGGATTATTTCAGCACTTCAACACCACTTCGTTATCGTGTGTTGGGGATATTAGGATTGAGAAAAAAAAAATCACTGTAATGTATTAATTTTTAATTCCGTTTCCTTCTGTCATCAATGAATCGAAAATTCCAAAATCAAACTCACAGCTGCAATTCAATAGTTATAAACACTAACAAAGTCAGGATTAAAGTTAGGTCACAACATCCCACTGTAGCTGCCAACAGATCCACAGCTACAGTAAACTCTGGAGTCGTACAGGCAGTCAGGGTGACGTAAGCTGTTCAAAGCTGCTCTGTACTCCAGACGTAGTGACTGCTGTCTGCCCAGCAGACCGAAGCAAACATCTTTCCACTGCAGATAAAATGGCTGCTCAGAACACAGTGGAAAACAAACGCACAGTCAAGGTCACTTTTTTTTTTTTTAATATCTTCAATCAGGAAGGTGACCTCCGAGTTAGGTTTTCTCGGTCACTTTTCACTACTAAAGTAATACTCGGCTTTATTGATTTAAAAACAACTTATATCCGAACTCCTCTTTTAAATACAACCCCATTTTAAGAAGGTCAATGTTAAATTGTTATTTTTTTTATTTTCCTGTCGAGAACAATAAAACATTGTGCTTTGAGATTTGAATTCTACTCTCTACGATGAATGCAGACTAACTTTCCAGTGTTGAGTCACTTTATTCCAATACAAGGATATTCTATATCTATATGTGTATACAAACACACATATATATGTAATATGTACCTTTAAAAGAGCACTATAAAAAAGACAGAAAAGGTAAACTCAATGCAGACGACGTCCAGCTGAGTCAATGCTGAAACAATACAAATCAACCAGCACCTGCTTCAATCATCATTGTTAATAGAAGCTGTTCATTAACCTTTTCAAAGCTGAAATCAAACATCCAATCTCCAATAGGTTAACATCGACGTTTGTTCTGTCCAGTAAGGGTGCACGTGAGTTCTGTAGCAGAACTGAAATCACAAACGAGGCCCCTCACTGGTTGAGCTCTTCAGAATCCCTCCTTCCAGGTAGTGAGGTAGTGTCTGCTGTTAGGGAACGATGCGGGCATTATGTCACCTCAGTTCGCCTCGTGCTTCCAGGCAGTGAACAGACCACAGTTATTTTAGAGGGAAATGGATTACAGATTCAATAAAAAGCATTTACGGACACACCTTTCTGAATACCGATGAGGCTCGTCTGACCTCACCTGCTTTCGTCAGCGCTGACAAGGCGTGCAATTGTTTATAAAAATACAAAGAACCTGCAGTTGGCAGCTGATGTAATATGAACTTTCCATGAATAGCAAAATAGCAAGTCAGTTTAGAAAAAAAACACTGCAGAAATAGATTCATGTTTACAGTTACTGATATTATTTTTTCTTTGTCAAACTATGGAGAAAACAAAAATACAAACTAAATACTAATACTAGCTCTAAATGTGTTTATTATTTTACGCTCTCCTCATGACCCAGAACTTAGCTAAAAGCTTAGCCCGCATCCCCCACTCTTAAATGTCACCTTACTTGTATTCATTTCCCGTGCTGTTTCCTGTTGCACTCAGGGTTTGCTGACCTCTGGAGTGGAGTTTGAATCTCTGCCCGCCGCCCTGTCTCTGCCTGCCGAGTCTGGACTCTACCCTGTCACTCTGGTCGGCGTCCCTCGGACAGCTGGCAACATCACAGTCAATGGTGAGTTCGCTTCAAAACATTATTCATCACAGTACAAAGTGCAGGTGTGTGCAGGACTGGGTGTGTGCTCTGTACTGGACACAATAAAATCAGAAGCTCTCCTGAAAACCACGTCCTTTGCTCTTTTTTCGCAACTGAACCCAGGTTACCACACGTCGGTGTTTGGAGTGAGCAGCGACTGCCTGCTGGAAGCCTTACCGGCTGTGAAGACGAGTGGCTGTTTGGTGGAGGTCGTTCCGTCACTTCCTCGCCTCCAGCTCACCACGTCGTTACCACGGTTAGAAAATGTTTCCGCTTAATACTGTCATGCCACATGTCCCCCAAGAGTGAGTTCTAGTAGTCAGTGGGTAATCACATCTGAATGTGTAAACCATTTTCCTCTAAATGGGGAAAAAAAACACAGATCTGTCAATGAACTCTATATAATATGTGGGCTTCGTTATTGCCTACATATTAAAAATTAGTTTTTGCTTAAAAATACATTCTAATGATGAGATGTCGTATAGGCTGGACTCAAACCACAATTTGATGAAGCAAAAAAAACCAATCAATGTTTATAAGGATGTTTATGTTTAAATGTTGTATTAATTATGCATGGTATGTTCCAGATTTATTCAAATAAAAATGGTAGTGTGAAAATATAAATTTTCCCCATGGACCACTAGAGAGCGCTCACGTACCACCGGTAGTACACGTACCACAGTTTGAGAACCACTGATTTAGACAGTTAATTAGGTAAAATGAAATTCCCACACACATTTCTGGTTTCTTTTTACTTGCAGTGGTATTTTTTACAAATGTAAGGAAAGCAAGAAGAAGAGAGGGTTATCAGCACTGCTGTGATTAATACTCGAAAACGACCAAATACGTGCTTTGACTGAGAGCTGTGAATCTTTCTGGCTACGTTTCACATCCACTGGATTGACCTCACCTTTATTACACGCAGCGGGCTGGGAGCTTTGTGATGGAAAAGGGAATTCTTTTATTCCCCCGGTGAAGAGAGAGGGGGACGTAGCAGACGTTTGAAGCAGTTGAATGAAATTGTAATACCCAGTCCCTGGGGTCCGCCGCCTGAATCCTCAGGTAGACCTTCTGCTTGACTTGACGTCAAGGAGGATCTTCTCTCGCTGCTTCCATTTCTTTCCGCCTCCAGCATCGAGCTCACACCTGCGTTGAAAAACATTAGCTTTAATTATTTATGATGTTTTTTTTTTCTCAAGCCTTTTCTGTCAAGGTAAGCGGAGAAACATCTGCTTGACGTCCAGTTCTTAAAAAAATGTATACGTAAGGGACCTTGTATGTTATGTTGTAATACTTTTAATACTCCCTTCGAATACTTACCTTGATCTTTTGACCTTTTCCACCCTACGCAGGTCAGCGCACACTCAACAGCCCATGTCCAAGGAGGAACTCTCCAGCTCGGTGTCGCTCCAGCTTTTCAACGGAGAGACCCAGCAGCTGGTCATCACCCTGGAGAACATTGGATCCGAAGACATAGAGTCGCTGGAACTCACCTCGAAGACCGTCACCACCAAAGGTCAGCGCCGTGTCGATTTATTCGTCAGTTATTGGAATGTTTTTTCCGCAGTCTGCCTTCAGCGCTGTTTTCATTTCCCACGGAGCCCACAGGCTGTTGTGTTGTGTTGTGTTGTGTTGTGTTGTGTTCCTCGCAGTGCCACAGAGTTCAGCGCCTATACTTCTGTGGCTTTCCACTCTCTTTGTACAACACCTGCTCAAGCGCTCCGATCTGGGCAGTCTCTCCCTCTCCCCGACTGTCTGCCTGTTGGTACTTTTGTCGGGGGGAAATTACAGCGGTTATTGACAAGTCAGTGTCACGAATTCAACCTCATTTACAGCTATCTGTCTCACTGCTGCTAAGTTTTGCCGAGCCGATAAGAGATAAAAGACTTTGCTGCGTTGTTGTTTGAATCATGGCTTTTATTCTGCTCTAATTAAAACAGGAAGTGAGTCGTCCATGCGTTGCACTCGCTTACATCTTCATCTCCTCCCAAATTGAGAAATCATTGAGGCTTTATATAGAGCGACGGCCCTGCATCATCGGCTCTTCACCCAGTAAGAAAATCAGCCAGGAGATACAGGAGTCTTTCAATTACAGTAGTCGATTTGGAGAGTCCTGTGAGGTGAGGGAAAAAAAAAGTCCTCCCTCTGCCTTATTTTGACCAATAGAAATGGCAGAAATCGAGGTAGAGTCAAGTGGTCAGAACCAAACAACAGAACAGACACGAAAGAATCTAGATGCTATATCTGCACTGAAACCTTCTACTGGGAATTGATTTGATTCGTTTAGTTTTATTAAGTCCACAGCTGTAATACAGGTTTATATTTAATGTAAAAACCTTGGCTCCATTCTGTTTCCTCAGATTCCCTTGGCTCCTGGGAGATGTTTTCATCATTTAAAAAGAAAACAAAATATACTGTATATATATAAAATATTGATTTGTCTGTTCCATTTCTAATATTAAACTTTGAAACTGTATGAGCAGGAAAAAAAAAGAATGTTAGACAAATTAGATAGAAGCCTACAGGATTTTTCTTACACACACACTGTCCATGTTATCTAACTGTAATGTTTATATTGTAATTAACTCTAATTAAAAACACGAAGATTCAAATTCGAGAGAACAAGCCATACCCGTTGCTAATTATTCGCTCGTACCGTGCCAGCGTGGCATTGCTCCGTGTGTTTGCTCAGCGAGGGAGAAAAAGAAGAAAACAATGAATAAAAATCAATGCATTAAGACTAATTCAAAGGCAAAAAAAAAGAAAAAAAAAAAAAGCGAACGATGGAAAGTGTTTAACGTTTGAATATTTTTTTTTTTTTTTATGTACTGTCAGCATAATGCCGTTACTGGGCTGGAAATACACAGATCTAGCCCGCAAGATGTCTTATTATGTAAATTGACGGTGAAAAGGGAATTTGTGGGCTCAATCTGTACGTTCAATCAGCACGGCTGTGGTTAGCGGCTCTCATTTTGCCGGCTGATTAACACGTGATTGCAGGTCAGGTTGGCGAAACACCTGCACATTAGCTTGTAATTGCATGCAGGACTTACAGGAAGACGAGTTTTGCCATCTGTGCGTGTACGTGCGTTTCACAAGCTCTCTCTCTCTCTGTCTGGCGCTCTCTCTCTCTCTCCCTCTTCTCAACCTTGTCTGCAGCCTGCAGGTCAACAAGAATAATATTGAACAGCTTGCTTCTCTTCGTGCCCTAATAATAAGATTGTTTACCAAGGCAAGTGAGAAGAAAAGCAACATTGTAGACTGTATTCATTCAATACACTGATATACAATCAGTTATGGTACATTTTCACATATAGTAACCAGTTAAACTAAAATGGCTACCTCCATGTCCTTCATAATCTCTTACTATCGGCCCTGACTTTTTAATGTTTAAATTCACTGTAGGTAAATTTGACCAGAAGAGTAAAATGTCAGCGCAACCCGTTAAACAGGCTTAAAGACTATCTGCAAACAAAGGCCTTCTTTTATGTCCCTTTATTGTTCAAACAGTTTCTGAACAGATCCCCGTCATCTTTGTCCTTCACAGCGCCGTCCTCCTTTGGTCCTCCCCACCACTCCTTTTCTCTCTTTCAAATCCTTATCTCCCTTACTTTCTGCAGGGATTTGGTTTCCTCAGTTCTATTTCTTTTCTGTGTGGCCTTCCTCCATGTGGGATTAATACTGTATGTCTCAGAATGTTAAAATCCTCTTCTTCTTTTCTTCTTCCTTTTTTTCTTTTCTTTCTTTCTTTCGTTCTTTTTTCTTTCTCTCATTCGTTCCTTTCTTTTTTCTTTCTTTCTTTCTTTCTTTGTTTCTTTCTTTCTTTCTTTCTTTCTTTCTTTCTTTCTTTCTTTCTTTCTTCTTCTTTCTTCTTCCCAACCTTATTTTACCTTATATTTGAAAATATTGAAAAAAAAAATATTAAAAATTAATGAAACTCTCTAGTACTTAATCCCTTTTGGTCATTCTTTAAAAAAATCATTAGTAATCAACACAGACATTTACTTTTGCTTTTTTCTCTCTTTCTCTCTTTTTTAACCAAGTCTAATGGAGTGCAGGGCAAAAGTATTGATAACAGGCCTTGGCCGTTTCATTATAACCAATGTGAACTCCAGATTCGTCCTTGTAGGTATTTGGAATTTAAAGGAAACCTTTATGGACGAGGAGCTCTTCTCAGTTTGTTTGTTTTTGGTGATGATTAGCTTTATTCACCTCAGCCGCCCTGCAGAGTGTGTTTTCTGTCTCTAAACCAGTTTTTACTGCTGTATTTCTATAAAGAAAATCATAAAATGACACTTGAGGAGAAACACCCGCACTGTCGTACTGGAGGAGGAGGAAGAACACCGCAGTGGGCTGTACAATCCAACACAACGTGTTAATTTTATTGCAGTGTAATTGATCATCCTGTTTTTCCCCCTCTTTTTTGGTGTAACATCATCATATTCTCTGCTGTGATTCATGGAGGCACTGCAGGTCCAACTCAGGTGCTTTAAATAAGAACAAAACTCAGAGACATAACAGAAGAAAAGTTGCGTTTTCTCTCGTTATTCTAACTCTTGATGTGGAACCAGTTTTTTTTTTTCTCTTTACAATTCCATTATTCAGATTAGTCACGAATGAAAACAGGTGTAAAATGCATGCATGCATATTGCAGGAATAGTTTTCACGACAGTCGCCTGAGCCATGACGATGATTACATCAAGGTTTTTTCCCCTACATATATCATTCTGTACTGATCCCCAATTCTACAGGCACTGTTTGAAGTGATGAAGTGGTCTCCCCGCATGACTGATCCCGACGCTAACAATCAGGGCTTCATCACAGATAGAATGTGCAGTGAAGGGCTGCGGTGGCGTTCTGACGGGATTTACCATTCCTTGTAATGATACTGTTTGACTCTTCAGTTGTAATCTGACAGCGACTATAGCCAGACCACGCTTGGCGAGGCACTTCTGTAGCTCGCTGGATTTATCATGGGATGAATAAAAGATGACGACTTGGAATATGAAGAGGTCCTAATGCAAAACAAACAGCGGTCCTTTTCTGACCCAGAGATAGCAGCTGCAAGTCAAATATTCTTTTTCATACCTGGGTTTTTCCATGCTCAATTAGCATAAACGATAAATAACGTTTTCATTCATTTTTCTATGATTTAAAATGTCAGGTGTCAACTACTTTCGCAGGAGTATTCCTGTATCTCCATCTACTGTTAAGGTGGACTTACCAAAGGCCCACAAACCACCAGTTGAGAATCTCTTATCCTGAAAGTCATGTTTTCACCTGTGGAGTTCAAAGACATGGTTATAAATATTTCATTTATTTCATCTTCTAATCTTACGTTCTTAAACCACACAGCTTTTGGCGTCATTTTTTTTTATCCTCCCTTTTAAATTCTCCACAAAGAGTTGAATTTGAATTTATGAATATTCAAAGGGTAGTTTCACTTCTGAAGTCTTTAGTTAATGCCACCGGTATTTACATCCTCTTAAAAAAATGCCGAGGATGAAACGTGCAGGGCTGTTAAAGTGTTGGTTTTTTACGGCGATCTTGTGTGTTTTCACAATCCCTCGGAGGATGAAGCTCCCCTCGAAAGGCAGCTCACAGGCTTTATTCAGGTGGTGCAGTGTTTAACGCTGGTTGGAGTGGCTGCAGCTGGGTTTTCCAGAATGAGGGACCGGTGACTGAGTGTTGTTTGTTGCTCAGAGCCGATCACTGCCCCGTTTGAAGCGTAGACAGCGGAGGGTTAATTCACACTTAATTGGCCCATGATGATTAATTATGGAGTTGGCGTCTCTTAGTCGTTGGAACTTTTCTTAAAAAATAGTCTTTCCTTAGACAAAGGGTTTACAATGTCCTCAAACTATAGGTTTTTCTGATTATAGAAACCAGGTCTGGAATCAAACCTACAACAGTCACCGGCATTTTGTAAATTAAATAATGCATTCATTCTTCCTCTCGTTCCACAGTGTGTTTATAAACCTTTTTCCCTGTCTTTGCAGAGAAAGTGTATGGCCAGTTTCTGAGCTGGGACATGGAGGAGGCTTTGCCTCACATGCCCTTAAAACTGGGCCAGGCTGTGACGCTGACCATCAACATCAAGGTCCAGCTGGACTTCTCTGGTCAGGAGAACCTGCTGCAGGACCTGAACGACGGTGAGTCTACGACTACGCACCGGCCGAATTGATGTAAAATTGATATTTGTCTTTATTTTAACATTTGATGTTATCATTAGATTTTTACCTTTTTTTTTTTGATTGGTAGAAAAGGCTGCTACCGCCTAACCCAAGTGTCCAAACGTGAAATCCACCAAGTAAAGATCGATGATAAATCAATCATAAATGGCCATTTCCCTTCTATTTGCATCTGCGTTTTTTTGCCTCAACATCCACCAGATTTTTTTTTTTACAGCCTCAGTAAAGAAAGATCCGTGTGGGGATTTAGCGCTTTTATTTTGCAGCATTTCACAGACCGAGCGCGGCTGTAATTGAAATAATTCTTGGCAATGCATGAAATCATCAGTTGCAGCACCACGGTGGGCTTTAATAGCGCCGCGCCGTCTTTTAATTTGCCCCGCAAAAGTTATGTTCACGTCGGGCACAGAAATGAGCGTTAATGCGCCCCTGCAGACTGAGCACTTGTTTAGAATTCAGCAGTGATGGTGGAAGGTTCACGAGGTCTTCCCACCTTCATCTCTCTCACTTCAACCTCTGGTTTCCTTTTGCTTGGAATTTTTATTCTCGCTGAAAGGAAAATGTCTGACCTTCTCCTCTACTTTGCCGTCCTCCGTTCCAATCCCTGTCCAGTTGATTTCGTAGCGTCAGATGGTTCAACGTTTTCGACGCCGATCATGGCACGAGTGAAGTGTGACATGTTTGTTTCAGCTTTGGTGCCTCTCTCTCTCTCTTTTTCTCATTCTCTCTCTCTCATTTAAACCTCAGGTTTTTAATTAGCTGAACAATAATTGAGGCCCCGAATTAAGGAGATAAGACGAGGTTCCTGCAGCCACTCTGAATGCAGTTATTACAGTGGCACAACACAACGTGACGCCATCTTGAACTCTAATACTACAGTGTAATCACAATAATAAAGTTGTGTTAATGTAAATAAATGAAGTCATTTTGCGTAAGGCGAGAGTTTCGGCTTGGGTCCGGTCTCTTCTGCTGCGCTGGAACAGAACAGACTGTGTTTCTGGCGTAGTTGCTATTTAAACTGCAAAATCTGGTGCGTTCAGGAACAGTGCGATTTATCTGATTAGCCGAGACATATGGTTATTAAACGAGTTGCGAAACTGCCCTAATGGTTCAAAAATATATACCACAAACATTAAACATTTTAGGTTAAACCATAATCTTAAAGCTGCAAAAATAGTTTTTAGAATATTTTGTATTAGAAAAAATAACCTGACCACATGGTGGCATGGTTAGAGCTCCTGCCTGCTGTGGTAAGCCTGGTTTATTTTGCTAATTATTTAACCTTTATTTACCCAGGTTAGTCAATAGAGAAGAGAACTAAATCTCATTTGTAACCAAGACCAGGCCAAGAGGCAGCAGATCAGCGCGGTGTCCTCAAACAGACCGGGGATTAAGTTAATTGGAGCGCATGTATGAATGTGATCGGAGCTGGTTGTTTGTCTCTAAATGAGACACACGGACATGGACTTTGAGACTGTCTAGCGTGCACTCTGACCTCACAGGGATTCAGTCTGGCTCCCCGTGAGACCCTGTAAAAAAAAAAAAGTGGTAGATGATGCATACATGAAAAGAAATTCTAATAAATTAGAAGCATTTTTAATGACTACATGTTTTTATTGCTGTCATGTTAATAGGGCTGGTAATTGTGATGGTTCTGGTGTCTGGTTTTTTTGTGTGCATATTTTAGATGTTAATAATAACCTTTGTTGGAGATCTGGCTGCTTTTAATGTGGCATTTATAAAACAACACTAATGAGTGTTTTTTTTTTTTTTTACGCGTGTACTTTCAGGCATAAAACATTCAAGTTTGGCTTAAGCTTTTGGCTAATCACAGTAGTTGAACAGAAGCCATTTCATTAATGGACCGACTGCATTCATCTTTTAATGTGCGTCCACCCAGAGTAGTTAATAATCTTAAGCCAACCAGTTGGCCGGTCAGCTCTATTTTTGGGCTTCCTTTTTGAACTAAGTGACAAGTGGACGTTACATGGATCGCATTTGTGGCCAGCTTTTATCCAAAGTGCTCCTAAATATGCTTCGACTTCGGCCATTTTGGCCTTTTGGGAAACAAGTGTTTATTTAGCGTCTTAGTAGTTCACAAATTCCACCAAAGAAGCTGAAATCAGAGTATTTAAAAAGCAAGACTGGCCTCACAGATTTATTCTCAGACCACTTTGTCCCTCACTTCGACTGCCTGGCCGTGACACCATAACTCACGATCAGCAGAGCAGCGTCATCACTTATGACCAATGGGCCTTGACTTGCAGGGAGCTCTCTTCCATTAAAAGGTGTGTCAGTTTAAGTGGTTGTACTTTCTCCTACATAAATGTTATGGCTGTTGTATTAGTGAGTGACACATTAGCAACAACGTGAATCAAAGCAGCTGTAGACAATTTGACAAGTTGTTTTTTTTTTTTTTTAATGTTTACGCCTGAAAACAGAAAGAAAGTTGGGACAAAGATTACCGTTTCCTCGAAGGTCGTTATCAGGCGGGTTTGTTCCAATTAGCTTTGTGCTTGAATTATTACAATTCCAACGCGGTAAAACAAAAATTCAAAGCCGGTGCTCGGTGCTTGCACTCACGCACGCGCACGCGCGCAGGCGCTGGTAAGCAGCTGTTGTACACGCACTATAAAAGCACGAGAGTGTGCCTCAGCAGTTTTCCATGGGAAAAAAAAGAGAAACAAACAAAGAAAAAAGCACCACTTACATCAACGTCTTGCTTTTATGCTGTTTAGAAATGTGTTTGAAATAGGCGATAGGAAAAGAGAGAAAAAAGGGCTTTCCCTGTTCGTTCCCACTGGTGGGCACGTTGGGTCAGAGTGAGTCTCAGACTTGCTGCCATTGTTCCTTCTATTTCTGGGATTGTTTTGACAGCGTCATCTAAAAAAAAAAAAAAAATTTACAGCGCTACATCCGATGACTAGTGCATCTGACTGTGACTCGGGTGTATATAGTGGCACAGCCTTAATATAAGCCTGCGTTACCATATAACTGTATTTGTATTTTGATAAGATCACTGTCATTGCCTTGTTTCAGAGACTTGAAACTAGAAAGCAGCTGACAACAACATCCAAAGGAGGGGGCGGGGTCTAACGGCTACTTCCTCCCTTTACTTTATTGCGTTTTATAAATCCCTAAATGTTTCTTTTTTGGTGCCTTGGAGTAGTATTTATTATTTCACATTAGCACACTCTGAAGTGTAAGGTTTTCAAATTAGTGCTTTATTTCTGTTGTGAGGCATAATTGTTACGTAATTGCCACCACGCCGTCGGCGGTAAACAGTTCCACAGCAGCAGTGGACCAGCCGGCTGCATCCTCTCCACAGCTGGCTGTCACTGATTGAATGCGAGCTCAGACTTGTCTGTCCTGAGGTGTGTGTGTGCGCGCGTCTATTTTTTAATCTGTAAGTAACTGCTAATCTTCAGATCTAACAGTAATACTTGTTCCTCGGGGTTTTTATGGTGTTAGAGGAGTTTTGGGGTGTCCGATAAGTAGATCATGAAGAAAATATCTGTCTATCTTTCCATCCATCCATCCAGTATATATATATATATATAACTCTGTAGTGTGCAGTACTGACCATATACTGTAAGAATTCAAGCAGTACCTCAACACATAATGTATTTCTAATTATGTTCTGTTTACGAGTAAATATATATATTTATCATTTCCAATGCAGGTATATTACTTCCTCCTTGTCATTTAAATAGAATCTCCCAAGCCAAAAAAGTGTAGACACCACCTGTTACACTGTCCAGCTCTGAGTCCTTCAGTTCAATAACATGACAACAGCAGTTCGCCCGACACCTTCATCTCCAGCTCTCCAGATTTTATTCCGACACTCCACTCCGAGCCCACTGCCTGTGCTGCTGTGTGGCCAAATTGCAAGGTTTTTTATGCCATTGACGTCAGAGGGTGATTTAATTCTTTGACGTCAGAGCCGGAGCTCTGGTTGTCAACTTTGAGAATTGTCTGAGCGAGTTGAAAGCAGCAGCCCCTGTAGTGGAGCCTCAGACACTGGAGCTGCTGATGGTGCTGCCGCTCCTGCATTCACAAACAGCACGTCTTATTTCTTACCTCAGAGTCATGACGATTTAGTCATGCATTTTTCATTTGCTTATCCAGAATTTGAAATACTCCAGGTGATGATGCAACTTTTTTATTTTTTTCAAATTGTAAAATAGCACCGAGTCTGGCATCTGCAGGATTACTTTTCTGTTATCACAAAATATCCTGGTTATATTTAATACTCCAAGTATTGCATACAGTGTGTATTGAGTGCCTGAAAATACCAAGAATCAGAATGAGTAAAGAAACATTACATTTATTCTATTAGGCTTAAAAAAACGCCCCAACATATCAGACCAGGACTAATGAGAGAAATTGTACAAGAAGGGGAACATTTCACAATGATTAAGCAGTAAAAAAAAGGAAGAGCAGAGAGAAGAACTTTAAGTGAGGAATTATCCTTAAATAAAAAACACGACGCCGCTTAATGAAGTCATTACTTTGTATTTTCCTCCATGCTGATGATTACCATCAGTGTGCACTAGGGATGGCTCGATATTACCTTTTCATGTCCGATACCGATATCAATCATGTACCATCTTCTGTCCTCCAGCCACGGGTTGACTGTGTGATATTAATGTCTCATTTCAGATGGCATCAGTGTCACCGGCCTGCCAATCTCCAGCCCATTACGCCAAGTCCTGAAACCCAGGTCTGAGACCAAGGCGGTCAGCACCGAGTCTGGCAAAGCAGAGTACAGCCACATCAAGGTGAGTAACCCACCGGTTTCCAGAAATACTGTATTTTACAGTACAAAGTCAGATATTTTCTGGCTCTTTAGCATACATTTCTACTCCCGCCTGAACGCTGTAACCCCGTCTCTGCAAAGTTTAAGCTGAAATAATATTTACAGGCAGAGTGGAGCTTTTGGTACGCTCTCAGCGAGTATATTTGGGGCGATGCCCTTGCCTGCAGATGCTCTCAGCTCAGAGCCTCAGAGCTGAGAGCAACACAGCCATGGAAATAAGTGGAATCTGTTTGTGAAGCTGCCAAGGGTGAAAACGGGGGGGGGGGGGGGGGGGTGGGGGGAACCACTATGGCGTCTTTATTAGTAGTACTTTTTTTCAGAATTGTATCACAATGTTTGTACTTTCCTAGAATAATCACAAAACCCCTCACTGATCATAAGTTCAAGCTAAAGTAGCAACAAGGTGAACACAGCTGAATCATCTGTCCTGCCTGTGCAGGCGTCGCCACCTGTCACCGTCCAATCTATTACTGTTGACCTGGTGGACATGAGGGGGACATACCTCTATGGCAGTGAGCTTGTCCAAGGGGGTCTGTGGGGACATGGCAGGACTGGCATGGCTAGGTGGTGAGGGGGAGGGGGGTGGGGGGGGGGGAGAGATTGTGGTGGCTCAGAAGAAAAAGAGAGACCAGATGGAGACGGACAGATTTAAAATGCACTCGGCTGAGTTGATCAGCGGGAGACGGGGTTCTGTCGGGGTCTCTCGCAGACGAGTGAGAGGAAACAGTGACCAGGCTGACCGGGTCTACCTGCTGAGGGTCATGCAGCAGAACAGCCGTGCCAGCTGGGAGCTGTGGCCGCGGGCAGCAGTGTTTCACCTCTGAAATCAGGGGATTCCTTTTTCTCTTTTCTCAGCGAATCAGCGGGAGAGAAAACTACCCCGATGACTAATGTTTAGACCTGCTGCCAGACTCGACCTGAAAACATCGTATTTCACATCGCGGGGAAAGATACATCTTTATTGTGTTTACTAACTTTTTGAATAGAAGCCCTACCAGGACGAGATTAAAGTGGGACTGACTTTACTGAGTAGATGGTTCGAATTGCTATGACTGTGCATTTCGTAGTCATTGTCATTCTGCTCAGTTTGATTTATGGCCCATATTTAAAAAGAAAAAAAGACATTTAATTATGTGTAAAGCCAGCGCCTTGGAATGACTCGCTTTTAATTAAAAAAAAATACAGTATATATATATTTTAACAAAATCAGAACAACCACAGTCCACAGCAGCCCTGGGCAGAGAGTTAGCCCAAAGTGACACGATCTAGTGGTGCATTTGATCCAGTTTTTCGACCCTTGTAAATAAAATTTCCGAATAAATCCGCATTTCCAGCCGAGATTTACAACCATTGCGCGTTCTCTTGACTGAGAACCAGAGTAAATGTCGGAGGACGGCGCCTGATGTGTTCGGTGCGAGGGGCCGTAAAGATAAATGGGCAGCTGTATTCTGGAACAATTAGGGTTTATGAAGTACTTAGTAACAGACCATCAGCCAGAGTGTTGCAGCCATTAATACACAATGTGATAAAGAACCAGAACGGCGGCGCTGCATCTTCTCAGATACAGGCGGAGTCAGTGAACGCCGCATCGATTGAGACTAAGACTAAGTGATGTGCAAGATAAAACCCAGACACTTGACTTTTAAATGTGTTTTCCTCTGGATTCCTGCTTGTGCGTTTAAGGTCAGCGTGCAGGGATTAGGAAATAAAAGACGGAAGTGTCTGTGAAAGATACAGTGCACGTTTGAAGGCGTTTTAATTGGTCCGCAGGTGACGCTTATTAGAGGCACTTTGAGTGACATATCTGCGCGTCACAGCACAAAACGATGTAGGAACGGTGTTTAAGCAGGGAGTTACGTAAGGTCTCATGTCTCATATTTTAAATATATAAATATATATATAATATATCATGCAATACAAAAGAAAAACTGCAAAGTTCTAACAGATGAGGAACAAACTTTGGATCTTGAGCACAGTAAGAAGAATACAGAGACTCTGGGTGAAATTGGATTTTATTGCCAGACTTAAAATTCTTTTTATTGCCTTCACATCAAATACAATCATTGATATATATATATATATAAAACACTGCATGGAATCTACAGATAAGGTATCAAAAACAAATCAAATTACTTTGAGTTTTGTACTGCCTCCATTCTGTTACGGTGTTCTGGTCTCGGAGATTTTTTGAAAAGGAAGCGATGATGTACGTTCCTTGAAGCCGTCTCCGTGACCTCTCCAATTTGACTTGGTAGACACGTTTCTGAGCTCTGACTTTGCATATCTTACAGTACTTGTTAGAGACACTGCTGGTGTTTTAGCCGTATATTGACCTTGATTTGTCTTTGTGCCCGTGAGCCTGTGAGGATGAATCGGAATTTCTGTTATGTCCTAATGGCCGCGTCGGTCGGTTACAGATGCACACAAAATTAAAGACAGCCTGGCTGAAAGCAGGGGTATTTGGAGTTTAATTCATTTTGAGGCGTGCCAGTTGACGCAGTATCGTTCCTTTGAACACGCCGAGTTTACGCAATGCTTATTCTTATAGTCGAGTTGTTGATGAATTCAGCCTTTTCTTTGTGCTAACGACCAACCAGCAGTAAAGCTCTGGTAAAGTAGCGCATGCAGTAACGCCTCCGGGTCAGCAATTCATACATTGCAGTGCAATACATCTTGACCCCCCCCACCCCAATAAATATGAATATAAAATATGCAGTATTGTATTTCCACATTTCCTTGTATAATTTGTTTGTTCATTCCAATTGTTTTGCTTTTTCGTGACCTTGATCATTTCTGGAAACGTGTACAACACTTTCTTTCTCCAAGACACATTAAGGTCTGCAAGCAGGAAAATGGTGCAGGACATGCCAGGAGGAGTAGGACAGTGGTTGGTTAGGTTTGATTGACAGGTTCTGTGGGGAACAGCTACGCATCCAGAACATTAAGGTGGACACCTGTGCTGAGGAGATATGACCGGTGTATTTGGCAAATGACGTTTAATATGGAGCGGCAGATAAGAGTAAGGATAAGGTAGAAGGTCTGAAGTGGGAAAGGTCAACTCAGGGACAGCAAATAATATGAAGTTTTTAAGGATCTGTACTCTTCTTTAATTAGAAAAACATACCATTTATTTGAAGACGATTGTGACTGAAATCAGCGTGAATTGTGGGCAGAACTGTAACCGGATTAAAACGTGACATCAGTGACCATGACCGGGCTTTTTTTTTAAGAAACGACATTCAGAGGAAAATCTGCCACTGTGGGGCGCCGCTCTGCTTTATCATATCTTTTCTTTTCTTAACACCTTGTGGCCTCTGCATTGATGCGACCGGGGTGATTTCAGGAAAACTGCGATAGTGGAGTAGACAGGCTTCTTCGACACATCCTGTGGCAAATCGTCAAATACTCAGTGTTGGTATTCTTAATCCAGTACTGTTTTGGTCGTAGTGTTTATAATAGTACTAGTACTGCAGGTGAAACAGAGATTTTTTTTCTCGATGCAGAGGAGGCTGTTTTCTCCTGATGACCTCCTAAGGTCACCTCTCCATCTACGTACTGATAGCAGGGCTGTCAGGGCGGCAGTATAAACTGCCGAGTGTGGATTAGATCCCACAACCCTGCGGGGGCAGGACAACTGCACGGCCTAATGAGCTACAGAGGTCTGAGAGTCCTTTAGTTCCTACGTGGAGTTCTGTTGAATAAAAAATTATAATAGTGACAGTGACTTATTTGTGCGATGTTAATGAACTGTACAAATGTGAACTACATTCCCATAGTACAGTGGAACCCCTAGATACGAGTTTAAACCGCTCCACGACAGCACTCGTGTGTCGATCCACTCGTATCGTGTTAGCATTTTGAGCCATTAAAAAGAACTAAAAACCAATTAATTCATTCCAGCCCCCCAGAAATATACTATTAATTAACAAAATTAAAATCCCCCTTACATCTAAACATCAAAAACATAGATAGAAACAAATATACTGATAATATAAAATAATAATAATTCAGAAAACATTTTATGTTGTTGTTATAAAAATGGGTAAAATGACCCAGCCGACAGACAGTCAGTGAGACATTGCGACAAGGTGTCGGGACCGCTTGTTGGTAGCACTTTTTTTTTTCTCCACTTGGTCACATCCATCTACGTTATTAAATATACCCTCTCGTATCAACACCGTGACAGATACAACCCTTCGAGCTTCTTAAAACGGGAGATTGGACCACAGTCCAGAAAAGCAAATGCAAGCGTTTTCAACAATGACTACGCCCACGCACACGCCCACGTGCGACGCAGACACAACACACAGCGCGCGTGACACAGCGCGCTCACACAGACACAGCGTTTCTGCAGAGCTAATCAAATCCAGTGGAGACAGGGCCGTGTGGGCTGCCTGCCTGCCTGCCTGCCTGCCTGCCTGCCAGCCAGCAGTGCTATTTTTAGAAGCCCGGCCCTGCCAGTAGCAGTTCAGCTCTCTTCACAGATACAGATCGCAGCTCGTGATACAGATATTTATAACTGCCACAGCTGTCTGCTCAAGTGTGAAACTCCAGCCAAACAACCAAATTATTTTATTTTTCCTCTGCTCGGAATTTAATCCATTACTTCTCGTCTGTTATGCCGATATTCATGGATGTTGGACCATCGGGCTAATTGAATCTAACAGTACTCATTACTTGTGACCACAGTGCTAGTGCACAGTGTTAATATTGTTAATGTTATCTATCTATCTATACATCCATCTATCTATCTATCGGTACCTACAGTTATTTTTTAAATTTTTTTCCTTGTATATTCAACTTCAAAACTGGCGATGAAAGTAGAATTGACTGTAATTTATGTAAATATTTTGTTGATTCAGTCCTTCGTCTCCCTAATGAATTACATTACTCACAAAACTACAGTATGTCATAAATCATCTTAAATAAACGCCGTCACTAAGGTAGACTTAGCTTTTTTGCTTCCAAGGAGTCTACAGATATGTACTCTGTACTTAACATTAAATGTTACACAGCGATTACGCCCGCTCTTTAAATCATGCAAAATGTATCACAGGTTGGGGGAAAAAAAAACTGCTTTCGGAATGTCAAATATTTATTGTGTATTATGATATTATTAAAAACAGTGCTTCCCGGTGAGTGGTACACACAGACCCACTCCGTGAGCTGAAATCAACAGAACGGCTTAGACAAACATAATTTGATTGTCAGAGCAGGAAAATGGCAGTGTAGGTAAAATAATAATGGAATTAAGAACCACTTAGAAATACTGTTGGTTTAGCAGAATAGTTTTAAAGTATCAAATCATTATCAAATCATATTGTAAGATCCTGTAAGATCTAGAGATCAGGCCAATGGCAGCCACATACCTTTTTCGCATCTGTATCAGACTTGCTTGTTTTCTTCGGGCTACAACGACACGTCCCACATCTCTCATGTGCCTGGGTGATAGATGACAGCAGGAAACATTAGCAGAAATGCAAAGATGGATTGTGTTGAATGTGTGGGGATGTGTCACCGATCCTCCTATGGAGACACACTGGGATTGGTGAAGTTAGTTATATATTTATTTTTACTTTTTTCCATTTGCTTCAATCCAGGAAGACATGCAGCCGGCTCTCTCATGCTGCAGGTATTGGGTCCTCGGGCTAAAATGTGATTATTCGCCCTGTTTATATTTTCTATTTTTTCGGAGCAGCGTTGTCATTCCCTTCACGATAATAGAGTGTATAATTCACTCACTTCCTATCTGCGCATTCCATGCAAATGGTTAGTGATATGATTTGAGTGCGAGGCTTTTCATTTAGCTCGTGGTGACTTGACTCGTGATTGATTAGCATCTCTTTCTGGGGAGACAGCTGCCGGGTCCTCAGGACTCAATAAGTGAAACCTTCACATTTTGGTCTCAGAAGCTTTGCCAGGTCAGGGTCAAGAAATGCTGCACGGCCTTTGCTCTTCGTCATTTTTTTTTAGCACGTGCTACGATACAGTATGTGCGCCAGCGACATTAAAAATGACTCTGCTGTACATCTCGTCCCCCGAGACCTGTTGCTGTTCTTTTTAACGCAGATGTGCCACTGCGCGCTTCCTGTGTCTAACTGATGGCCAAATGATCTGGTCCATTAAGATCCTAACCCCAGGGATGACTGAGTTTCACATTCGTCTTACTCATTAGTGTTCATGTAAATGCACAACTCCGTCTTGGCTCCCAGGCAGCTTTTTATGAGCTGCGGCGAGACGAGCCGATCGGGAGAGCAACAGTTGGTGGACCGGTTTGCCTCGTGGCTGTCCCGACTTTAATAATAAAATCTCTTTGGAAATCTCCTCCTGTCCAGAGAGAGCGCGCTGACGAATACACATCCCACGTCTGTTGAATTACAAAATCAGTGTCTAATAAAGGAATTGTAACTATGCATAATATCAACGCTAATAACAGCTGTTTGGTTTTAGTTTCATTCTGTTTCTGGTAGCACAAACGGATCAAGCAGCTATATATAGTTACCGTATTTCATGTGATTAAAAAACCGTGGTTTTGCAAACAGTGATTATGAATATTCCCAAATGTGGCTAACGGCCATATATTAGCAAATATAGGAGCACTAAATGTTGGTTAGTTTTGATTACTTTGTTACTCATCATTATATATTCGCATAGCATTTTTCTTCCTATTACGTGAAGGTTAATTCTTCAATAAACCAAAGATCTTCAAACTGACACTAGTGTCAAATCAGACAATATGTCAGATTGTCAGAATTTTCAACCTTCAACTGAAATAAGTGGTGTGAGAAATATTAACGTGAAGATTCACCTTTAGGAGGTCGTCAGTCTGTTGTGTTTGCCCCCCCCCCACCTCCCCTCCCAGTGTCTTGAGTCACTGGCCTGGACGAGATTGTTGGGGGGTGTGGGGGGAGTTACAAGAAGAAAATCAAGCATTTCACCATGCTTACTGGACTTGAATTCATGTGTGAAATTCAGCCGGGCAGGCCAAGTGTAACCCCATATGCTGTTGTACTCGATGACTGAACGGGTGTTGATCGCATTACACTCAGATGCACAAGTGTGCTGTGTTTACACCAGCCTGCTTCATCTTCCATCTCATCTGTGTTTTCATATGTGTTTTTTTTTTTTTCTCTTTTTGAGCGTCTTTGAATAAACGTCTGCTGATTTCTGCCTGTGGAATTCGTCTTCTCGGATCGCGCTGCCTTTTGCTTTCAGCTCTGCTGGTCTCATCTATGATGCTGACTTTCACATTTTCACGCTTGACTGGCTGTTGATATAAGGCAGCGAAGAGCAGGGGTTGATGGAAGGCTTTTCACCGCAGACACTCCGCCGAGTAAATGCTGTGACACTTGTGCAGGGACCGCACGATTATATAAAGGAGCAGCCATTTTGTGTATGTATGACCCAAGGGTCCCCTGTTGACCTCTTCCTGATCTTGGAACAAATGACACTCTTAAGGTTGAAAAAACAGTCTGTAGCCAGGAATGTCAAGTCCACGGAATGGACAGCTTTGAGGCTGTTGGCTGGATGGTTCTGACGACTCTTTGGACTGCATACTGACGTTTAAGTTGTCCTGACTGACTGACTCATAATATATCAGACTGGTTGACAGCCCCCTCAGTCCTCATCAACAATGGTTATTACTCATCTTCCCACCAAGAGACCATTAGAAACCATGTTTGTTTGTTTTCTTGTCTCTCACGACCTATCAGGCCACCAACAAACAGACAAATGACACTGTGTCTGTCCGTCTCTGAGACACAAAAGCGTGTCACGAGGCACAAAATGGCGGCCGATGATCTACATCTGTGTTTTGTATTCATATATCTTACCCAGACTTGACCTGAGGTTCCCATGAATATTTTGAGACAGGATTGTTTTTTTGTGAGCACTCTGATATTCCCAGACTGACGTCTACACGCAAGCCAACGCCAGCATTAATCCATATCCAAATACTGCATTTAAATGGCCTTTTGGCCATTTCTGGGTTTTCCCAGAGTGCCCGCCAGGACACTAAACAGCTCTGGCCATTTCTGGGTTTTCTGAGAGAAACAAGAGTGCCCGCCAGGACACTAAACAGCTCTTTTGGCTGATGGCTCACTTCCACACCACTAGGCAGATGCAATCCAAGCAGGGGTCAGTTGTCATTTTAGGGACAATTAGGCACACAGACGTCTCGCCGCTTCATTTTAGCACACTGTAACCCCACTTTGTATCGGCCGTTCGACCACCTGTCCGAGTTATGAAGCAAAACCTCAGGAAATCAACAGCAAATTACAGGAGTCCACCCTGAACAGGGACGCGTAAGACACCCCTAAATGTCTGCGATATGACACAGGCTTCACGCCTGTCAATCTGACAAGCGGTCCACATTGTCCTGGGGGCTGGAGTGATTAAATATTAATATATCATTTGAAATGTAATCCTTCTTTATCATTTTTAACAACTGCTGTGAGTTTTTTTCCTGAGTGCTGAACTGCTGCCTTGCCAGTAAACCCCTGGCAAAGGGCACCACTGAAGCTTGAATCATTCTGAGAGGCTCCTGTCTCAGCATGACGATCGCTCTGACGCTGCATTCAAGGACCGCCGTCGGGAGAGACGCGACCGTGCCATAATCTCTCCAGTGCAATGTGTCAGGGATCCTTATCTCAGTGCCACGATTGAAAGGGCTCTTAGCTTTCTCTGCACTTCTCGCCTTTGTGTTCACCCGTCATGTGAGGCGGCGACAATGGAATCTCTGCCGTTAGCTATTCATTTCCTTTTTTTTTTGTCATATAAAATGCAGTGTTTGTGTGAAAAGATAAGATTGATCGTCACACAAAAAAATGCAAAGAGCCTTTCCAGAAGCATCGCTCTCTTTCATATATATATACATATATATATACATATATATATAATGCTCATTAAAAAGGGCTCAAACATCACAGTAAATCAAATGGAACCCTGTTAAAGTCCTGCAGCTTTTTTGTGCTGAATTTGTCTTTTTTTTTCTGCTGTCTTCTCCCCCCCTTTTCAGACTTTGGAAGCAGTGCTAAACTTCAAGTACTCTGGTGGAGTGGGCAAAGTGGAGGGCTACTATAGAGAACTGACTCTGGGAATCCATGTTGATGTGGAGCCTTCTGTGTTCTTCACCAGAGTCAGCACCCTTCCAGCAACCAGGTACAGTGATGTGCTTCCTGTAAAACGTCCCAGGATTTCAAAGTTTTTTTTTATTTTAGTCTGCGATCATCATGCAGAAGCTCAGGTGCAAAAAATGTGAATGTTGGTGAACATTGAACAGTTTATGCATTATTTGGATTTTTTTTTTTTAATCCATTTTTTCTAAGATTTTGAAAGTAACTGGGAGCTAATGTGGCTAAGAATATACTTCCACAGTAAACTTTTGTAGTAATAGTCTGGATCGACTAAAAATGCAGACACTTTCTTTTGTTCGCTCTGGTAGACAGTGGGTTATTTTTCAATACTTCCTGTAGTGATCAACTGCATCTCTGGTCTCTGCTCTGTTGTGTTTTTATTGATGGTGCCAACTGAAGTACACAGTACACAGTAAGGTTGAATATATATATATATATATATATTATACTTCCAAAAGCAGACTATTTTTTTAAACAAAAATATTTTTAAATTCCTGTTTTAATTCTAAAAAAATTAAAAATATACCAGGGTTGGAGGAAACATCTGCTTTTTTTTTATTGTTGTTGTTCAATAGCTGTTGATTCGTCCTTTTTGCAGCTCTTCTCCGAACACAGACAGGTCACCTAGTAACAAATATGAATGAACATTTTATGTCAATTTGTTTTTGGCACCATCTCGCGTGTCTCCATACCTCGCTCTTCAGACGAGTACGCACACTCCTCTGTATTATACTTGGCCCCAACTTTTCCGGCTCCCAAAACTCTGGTGAAAAATCTTGCGGCGAGGGAGGACAGATCACAGTTGAGTAATGGCCACTTGAGGTGAATCATTAGCTGTAATAATATCTGCAGTTGAAGCCATCCGTCTTGGCTCAGCGCTAAAAGATGTGCTGCGGCGGCTGCCATACCATCACCCTGTCATCTAAACCCCCATCTTCCGAACCTCCATCACACCCACAGCACTTTCTGCCTCATCTCACTGAGGCGCGGCGTTCCCTCAGCTGCATCTCAAAACATTTCAAGTGCGGTCAAAAGGGGAAAACTGCAGAAATGTTTTATTTCGCAGAGCTTACTATCACTTTAGCCACATATGGACACGCAATAGGCCCCGCTGCAGTACTTCAGAACATGTGAGGCAAGAAACAAGCGTTGTTGAATTTCACAAAATACAACTTCAAAGAGAACTTTTAACTGACTGCATGTACAGTAATTGCGTTCCGATACAGCATCTTATCTATTCGCTCAGTTTCTCTCACCGCTGCCCCCTGGGGACATGTCTCTTTTAATGCAACCAAATCCCGACAGACATTTATTCTGTTAAATGTCCTGTTACATTTTTTTTTTCCATTCCTCCGTTGTACGTTTTTCAATTATGCTGCCCCTTGAATCCCCATCTGAGCGGCACCGCTGCAGCTGGTATCGGTCGTCTGAGTGAGAATTAACGCCGCCGTCTCTGAGTGAAACATTAAGTAAAGCTTAAGGCTCGGGTACGGGTGTCACTTACACTCGAGTCGGCGCGAGTTAAACCTGGTAATGAGAAGAGATGCAGATGTAATGCCTCGTCTCTGATTTGGTCTGTTGCTATATTCATGACCGACACTTTCTGCCTCATCAAGGCTGACGATATGAGTAATGGCAACTACATAAATACATAAATAAAAGCCAGACACCAGAGGAGTTTTTTTTTTTATGAGCCACATTGAAAATCTCTGCTCTCAGATGCAACAACATCCAGTTGTAATCTAAAAGTAGAAAAGTACAGTGGTGTTAGAAAACCTCTGCCCTGTTGCAGCCTTTACAAACCTGATAAATCTCCTTATTAAGCTGTTTACGATTCACCACTGTGGCTTTTATTATTCCGGCGGTGTAACGTCTCCCCATTACGGTTACATAAACAGCAGTTCTTCTACTGTCAGCCCCTGTGTTTGTACAAAAGTCTGTAAACAAACCAGAAACAGCCCCGGTGTGTTTCTCAGTAGCGCACATGTTCTGCTATCGTCAGTTAGCGCTAGGCTCGCGATCGTGTACGTTAAAATTGAGGTCGTCCCTGTTAAAGATATGAAGCGTAACAATGCTAATGTTTCATGCTTTGCGTGCCTTACAACAAGAAGGTCACAGGTTTGATGCCCCCAAAGAAAAAATTGCATCCCAGATTCTCTCTTGTTTTATTAATCTGTTCACATTGGCATTGTTTACGTTCCTGATCATCTTGATCTAGCTTGACCGCACAATGCGAGTTGAATAACTGGCTTTTAAAGCAGGACGTGTGGAGGCCTGAACCCAGGCGTTGGCGCCATCTTTCATAGTCCCCTGATGTTTTCGCTGCAGTTCATTGCTTTGCTTCATCAGCCAAATGGTCCAGCTGGGTCAAGTCATATTGAAGGTGACAAATGTTTCAAAGAAAGTGACAAAGGGCCCGGGCGTGTGAAATGTCCAGCGATCCATTATTTATTGGGAACCGTTAAAAACCCCATTTGTTCAACATTCCGTTGACTCGGTCAAATCCCGTCTTCCACTGGGCCCGATCAGGTGACCCGTTTTGTTGTACTGCTACATGTGTGTCTTTTATTCTTTGTTTTATTTTTTTTATTTTTTTTTTTTACTAACATTTTTTCAAATTCCTCTTTTAAAAGAAACCTGCTCCCTACTTTAGATGAACACATTTTTAAATAAAACATTAGTCCATTAGGAAATAATAAAAAAAAGATTACTCTTCAACTCTTCGTCAGGTTTTTATGGCTGTGTTAGATTTAATCTAACTTGATCTAATTTAATACAATTTAGTAACTAGTGTTTTTATTTTTATTTATTTTTATGTTGGAATGGAGAAGCGCTGCTCTGAAGGGACAATTTATAATTCATTTATTTTGCAGTGTGATGCACAAACTGACATGCCAGTAATTAACTCTGGCTGTTTTCCTCTTGTCATTAAATCTCTCTAGTGGACATGAAAAGTAATCTGTTGCTTACTGGCTGCTGTGGCTAAAAATAGCCACTCATCAGCAATCCTCTAAATCCAGCAGGGCTAAGTGCGGCCATTAGATTTTCTTTTCGTGGAATATGTCACGTTTTGGAGCCACTGCAAGGCTGCGAAATCAGCACTTATTGATTGTGCATTAACGGAATTGACTGAGGTGTGGGCATAGCTGTCCTGATCCGAGATGATTTTTTAACCTACGCTTTATTGTGTGCAGTTGTCGATCCTACTACTTTATAAACACACTCACGTCTTTAAAATCCATGTCCTCTCTGGGTTGATTTATTGTTTGCCGGGTCCTGTCGGGTAATTGAGTTCATAACGTTGTTTGAAAAAAAAAAAAGAAACGTGTCGTTTTAACCAAGCATAAGGTAATAATAAAAATGTATGAAATATTGTTTCACAATAAGAGCATTCGAAGCCTTCGCTTAAGTTCTGAGAGAAACTTTTCGGCAGGTATCGCAAGCCGTCATCGTGATGTAGTTCTATGGAGCTAAATGTCAACGTATGCCTTTAACTGTCATTGGTCTTCCTGTTCTAGCTACTTAGTAATTCATTTTTGAGAAATCATAATAAAGCCTGCTTAATTATAATCATGATTATGACTGTGATAAATCATGATTAATCCTCAGCTTGCCTGTGATTAATCTGATTTAAAAAGCCGAATCATTTGACAGCCCTGGTTCATGCACGCACAACGCTGCTGCTCCTGCCATCCAAATATTCAGTGCACTGTGCATTTACAAAAATTAACATTTATTAAAACAGTATTTTGCATTTTAAGTTCAAAATAGTCAGTGATGTCAATAACTATAAATTACATTTTTAACATTATTTTTATATCCAAAGTCCTGGAGTGAGCGTGAAAATTTCTAACCGTCTTCGTCTTCATTTCAAACCCCTGCCTGCGGCCCCCGTCTCTCTTGGCTCACTTTATCTATTGTACTTAGTGCATGAACAATGAGCCGTACGCCTGTTGCCGTCTGATTGATCACCTCTGCTGAAAACACCAGTCCATAAATCAGTGCCTTACCCCGCACGAGCCGTTAATCACATCAGCCAATGGAGACAATGAGACAATTAACGAAACAGTGGTCGACCAAAGAAGTGGCTGTATTATCCAGTAATTGCCACGGAAGGTTATCAGAGACTTGGGGAAGTTCAATTTGAGCATCGACTAACCCTGAGGTTTACTGTAAGAGGTGACGTCCTGGTGGGACGCTCGGTCCAACTCAGCCTGTCTTGCAAAAAGGACAGGTTGGGCTGCTGCTTTAGAGTTTTTTTTGGATATTGTCCGCCCATCACTTTGACAGAAAAAATAAAAATAAAAAACTTTTTTTTAAACATAAAAATAAAGATAAAAATCTAAATCTAATTATACATATAATTAAAAATAATTAATAAACATCATATTGGCTGCAGTGACCAGGAGGAAAACATAGATTTTTTTAGATTTTTTTTAAGTAAATTCTGCATCATCTCTCATCTGCCTTGATCTAAATTACAAATCGGACTCTTAGGATCTGCATGACAAAACCAGGCCTGTGATTGGGTGGGGATGGCCTGCTCCGAACAGACCAGTGAGCCTGATGAAAGCACCTCCATCTTTGAAGTTATGACAAGGACTGATGGACACTTCTCACGGTCCCTGCTCTTGATCTTTTGTATTTGCTCCGTCCACTGTATATATTTGTGAGCTGTGTTTTTTTGGGGGGGAAAGTTACAGTAAACACTAATGTAAAAAACCCTTATTTTCATAAACATTATTTAAAGCAGTGTTACCCAAACTTTTTTTTCTGTCCACCCATATTTTAAAAATCACAAACCTTCGCGTCCCAAGTCAATAGACATTATTCGTAAACTCCTGGGAAACATGATGCGAGACGACCCCCCCCCCAAAAAATCTTGCGACCCACCTGAGGGTCGCAACCCAGTGTTTGAGAAACAGTGATATAAAGGACCAGGCAGATGACAGATGCAGGAATTGTCTGTTAAAAAAACCCATTCTGAAAGTGCTCTAATTTTTTTTTTTTTTTTTTTAGCACACGCCAGTGTCACCTCCTGCTCGACATCTTCAACCCCACAGAGCATGAGCTTACAGTCACCGCCAAGAACAACCAAGACCTGGTTCTCCATGCAAGTGAATGTCAAAGGTAAGTCTGGCTTTGGTTTTTGGTGTTGTATTTTTCGTTTTAGTGACAGACTAGAGTCACTAAATTTGGTGGCTTCTGATGAACATTTCCCTCCAGCTCCTCTCTGTTTCCCCCCGCCTCCTAAGACAGTCTCTGCGCCTCTCTTCCTCTCAGCATTTACGGCCTTCTCTTCTTAGTTGTTTCAGCGAAGAGTGGCAAATTACGATTCCTCTCAGCGCTGCCTCTCCGGTGTATCCTGAGCCATGTGCGGAGGTACACTGACGGTGACTCATAGGACTTTTTTTTTTTTTTTGCGTTAGGAGAGGAATGTTCACAATTGAAGGGAATTAGTGGGTGGAAAGGGACCGTTTCAAACAGAGCCACGCTGCTCATCCTTCAGGTCGATGGAAATCATTTTTATAATGATAATCCTCAAGTCCAAAATAGCTGTGTGTTCGTAAAAATCAATTGATTTGCTCCGTAGGCTCAAGGATGTCTTTTTTTTTTCAAAAGTGGAAAAAAAAAAACCAAAACAATTTAATATGTAGCAAAAATCCCTGTTCCCAACTACCAACAGAAGGCTGGTGGGCTGGCTGAAATAAGACGGTGTGACCTTCCTGCAGTCGTAGGTGGGAAGAGTATTCCCTCAAATAAAGCACACCTAACAGAAACACGAGTACAGATGTCCTAAAAAATGTAAGAATAAATGTAGAACTTGAGGCGGTTTGTGTACAAACACTTGTTTCGGAATACACAGAAGTATAAAAAATGAATGTGGCGTGCAACTGTGCCGACGGCGGGTCCGACCAGAATTCTTGAAACTTGACTGAAACCTGCTTCATCCATCGAGTAAACTTACGAACTACAAACAGTACATTTGCAGGAAGTAAACAGTCATGTACGCAATTAAGGTTTTATCACGTTTGTGATCGGAACCCAGTTAAATGAGCAACTGACTCATTCTCTCCCCAAGGAAATTTCATGTCTGTTTTTTTTTTTTTTTTTATATCTCCATGTGAATCATCAATGTGTTTTGATTAACGGATGGAAGTCTGGTTCAATCTTTTCACTTTAGTTCCGTTTTAAATGTCAGCTTCTTAAATAATACGTGTTCGTCGGCCCCATCTGAGAAACAGTCACTCTTTGAACACATCCGGTTCTGGAGTAACTGTTCTTTGTTTCTTTAAATATTATTTTAAAAAATAGAAAAAAAAAATCTGTCTCTAATCAAGAAAAATTTGCTTACATAACTGAAAATAATATTTTAGAATAAAAGCACCTCAATTATTTAATAAAAAAATCCACTAACTTGTAATAGCTACTAGGATTTTCTCATGCTGCGTCCCTCACCTCGGCTGTTCCTGCACAGGTAGACTACCATTGTGTTTCTGCTCCGATACGGAAGCTGTGACAGCAATAATTATAGTATTTAATTCATATCCGAAACGTCAAGAAACCACCAACGGAAAAGGTAATTAGTTTCCACAAATGTCCGGCTCGTTTTCTTTCTTGTCGCTAAGTCTCACAGGCAACAGGATTCATTCTTTGTTTTTCCTTTTTAACTCTGTAAAACGTAGGAAGCATAAAGGGCCTGATCAGGATATTTCTAATCCTATTTGCGTCATTGCTTGTCATAGTCTTTGGAGGAGAAAAAAGACAAATTAGAGAGTGTTGTCTTTCTGTATTTGTTTGCTGAAATGTTTCTTTTTTTCCATTCATCCTGTCAGGAGTGCTGACATTTTTGGGACATTTAGGAGCTAGTTGACCTTTTGATGGAGGTTTCACCCTTTGTTTAGTATCACTCCCAGGTGGCTTTGCAGCTCAGCGACAGCGGACATGAACTTTATGGTCCATTTTTGTCCATATTTATTTCATATTTCTTTTATGAAAAAGTTAATTTGAGGTCAGATCGTAACGCACCACTCCTTCGAAAGATTAGAACCAATCTCTCGACTCTGAACCCTGACTAGAAGCTGATATAATACGACACAATGTGCCTGTGAGTTGCAAAGTGTCAGGTCTGGTAACGAGCTCAGATGTAATAAATATAGACCAACATATCTCTGCCTTTGATTGACGTCCCCTGCGGACGCAACCCCTGCCTTTAACTCCTAACAATCATCTCTTTCATCCAGTGCAAATGTCTTCTCCTGAAGTCTGCCAGACACACAGGTTCATTACCAGGAGATTGAGTCAGACTATGGGTAGAAAATGGTGGAAACAATCATTGTTTCACCCACATGCTACACATGCTAAGGCGGCCGACTCGCGCATGATCGTCCGCCGCACCATTCCTTTGCTCGTCTCCCGGCGAATGACGGTTCTGCCGTTTCATATTTCTTTTCCTCCCAGTGATGAATGAGGTGTCAGCCGCAGCATGTTTTCTGGAGTCGTTTTCCAGTCCGAGACTTCAGTCTGACAGTCGCCAAATGACCCTGTCAATCACGCACGTTTCCTTTGCTGCTACAAACGGGCTTTAATTGTTCCCAATGAACTCCCTTTATGGATACACAAACAGAAAGGAAGGAGGGAAACCTTCAGGCACCGCGACAAACACAGCAGCTCCGTCTGGGGATTTAAATGACTTCCAGACCTGTGTGTGTGTGTGTGTGTGTGTGTATATAACTTGAACATAAAAGCAGCAACAAGCAGCTGGTTCCATCTTTTTGTTTCAAGCTGGAGTTTTTACTCAGTGTCAGCGGAAATAATCTGTGGAAAACCAAAGGTTGGGCAGCGTTCACGTGTATTTACGTTCCTGGAGTGAGTATTTCTGTCTTTGTCGGCTCGGGCGAGTGGTTTGAAGAGAGAAGTGTCAGTTGCTTTCATCTCCTCATATCATTTCACAGACATTTCTTTTTACAAGGTCTTTATATCCTTGATACAGTTCTTTAAAAAGGCAAATAATAAAAGCGTAGTACATCAGAATCTGAATGGCCACTTTAATGTTCGGCTGCTCGACAAGGTCACTCAAGACCAGCGCCGTTACAGCCAGAAGACTTGGTTTCTTTTTATTTCGTTTTTTTTTTTTAACTTGCAGATCTTTTTCTGCCTCACAAAATAAATTGCATTTTCTGAATGGGACTCGGTTTTCAATCAGGTTTCACCGTTACCCCTGAATATCTTGAATGAAATCTGTCACTATGGTAATTTACTGGATACCTATTTTTTTTTTTTAAAAAAGACCAGACCTGATTTACAAACCTGAATTTAGAGATTGTTTTTGCACAATGTTTAAAAATCTAAAAATAAAAGAAAACTTCATTAATGAATATTTATTATTTATTTTATTTTGTACAGAAAAACATTTTATTTTTTTTAATTTATTTTTTTAATTTAAAGCATAGCCAGGACCACGGCCATGAATAAAATAAATAAATAAATATCTATGGTATTTTATCTTGAAAATCACATCCCCTTGTCTATACAAATGACATAGTAATAATAATAGGATTCAAAGTGTATAGAATATAACTTGTGTTTACAGGTTGTCGTTCCTTCATGTGTTGTTGCAGTTGTCACTGCATATGTATTCATAGTGTAGACATGTCAAAGGTCAGATTGGAAATCCTCGTTACACATTCCTATAGGTTTCACTGGACTCATTTCCGCCGTCCCTTCGTGGTTTTTCTTCGTGAACGAGCGATCCTTCGTTAGCTTCCACCGCTGCGCGTAAACAGCGTGCAAATTAGCGCCTCAATCCCCACTCGCTTATTCTCCTCTGCTTTAGGAAGAAACGGTGTTTCCTGTGTATCACCTGACAGCCCTGACCTTTCTGCAGCTCAGCCTTTAATCTAATGGGGAAATTATGATGAGCTGGAGAGAAAATTAGAAACCTCTGCTATTAATATGAATCCAAGTAAGGAGTCATTTCCATAAAAGACATTTTTAAGTATTGTAATTAAAGGGGTTTGACTGCAAGTCAGTCAAGTCTTTATTTGAGTGATTCTTTTTTTTTTTTTTTTTCTCGTATGATAATTTTGGTGCTTTAACAGTATCCATTATACTTGAATTAGATTAAATTACCCCCTGGGGATCGTCACCGGGGCTCAGTCGTATCACAAAGGAAAGGTAAGACGTTATTAGTAAACTACGTGTCACAGAATATCCCTGAGTGAATTGGGTTCCGTGCAATTTACACAATATCTTTCAATCTAAGTCATTCTTGCTTGGCTTGTGCACTGAAAACTGTACAGACTCCCAAAGACAGTGCTTCTCAAACTGTGGTTCTTGTGCTCTCTAGTGGTACGCAGGGAAAATTCATATTTTCACGTTTACATTTTCAGTTGAATAAATCTGAAACATACCATGCACAATTAATACAACATTTAAACATAAACATTTGAAGCTAACAGTGAAGGTCTTCCCTGTTAGCTTCAAATGTTTATGTTTATATGCAGCTATATTCTAACGTTGGTCATCATGGTGGTACTCAGAGAGCGCCATGTTTTCTCAGGTGGTACAGAGTTTGAAAAAACTTTGAGTACCACTGCTTTAAGGTATTTGAAAGACTTCATATAATTTTTTTTAAGAAATATTTCTTGACCCTCTGTTGTTACCAGGAGAACTTGTTTTCAGCAGTATTTTCTCCATGCTGTGGCAGTTTTCAGTATTTCCGTTAATCCGGCCAACACGTCAACAGCAGGTTCGGACACGTGCGTGTATTTCAACTGCGTTTGCTTCCCATTCTTATACGCACGTCCCCTTCCCATTGGTCTCCCGATCTCTTTGGCTACGCTGGGACGGCGCTCACCGGCGCAAACACGCCTCATTGCAGGAGCTTCTTAAACAATGCCTGTTTCCATGGGGACCACCTTCTCCCATTCTTCTGCTGCATTTTGTAGTTGCAGAGCACATAATGCGTCTGCAGTCGCCGCTTATCCAATCATCAACCGCCCTGGCTTATTGTGAGTGTTATCAAGTGACTTTTCCCAAATAGCCTCATGCACTACGGCCAATTATCAGAAACGCTTTTCAGCCTCTGCTGGGAAAGTATATATATATTTTTGGGACAATCTTAGTACTGACTGCTGTTTGACCTCACACTGGGAATCAGCTTCACACCAGAGTCACATTTTTTTCTTTCCTTTTACCTCTTTTCACACAGTTTCTTGAAATAATGTGGTCTCTGGTGGGTCTTTGATGATATGTTGGCTGTGTCTATATGGGTAAGTTAAGGTGGCTTTTTGCACTTACAGGTCCTTCAGCACTGTGTATTTCTATAAGATGGGCAAGACCACTTTATGGCCAGTCGACAGAGACGTGTCTCTTATTTTGAAAATGTACTTTATCTTCATCTTGTCGTCTTGATTGTGTTCTGTGTTTTCATATATATATCTTTATATTTACTACACCGACTCCGTAATACATTATTATTCACAATCCACAATGGCACTGGTTTAAATCCTGCAGGGGGTTTAAGCCGCGTCTCTTTTCTCACTGCGTTGCATTTCTTCAGCCGTGCTGTCTAATAATGGCAAAATGCCCCCAAAACAGCTCACAGGATTTAGCAGCAGATGTAAAAAATAGCTCTCTCTCTCTCTCTCTCCAGCAGCCGAGGTAACACAAACACCAGGTTAATAACTGCACTAGGACTGCACCGGAGAATTCTTCCACAGCTATCTCCCCCCCAATGTAATTGGCCGAAAGGACTCCCCAGTACACAGAACGCCATAACATTGCAAGGGCACGTGATGGGCGGATTGGGTGAAAGGACGCCGCCTCCGCAGTTGCGGCAAACAGAGGGTTAAAGAAGTCAGCAGCGGTCTAAAAATAGACTCTTGCTCTCACTCGCATCTGCACAGCCCTCCGTGGATCTGGGCCCTAAAGCTTCTGCACGTGAGCTAAAAATAAACTCCTTTGCAAAACACACACACACAGAGAGCCTGGTGGTGCATGTTTGGCTCCCACCTTCTCCCTGGTGACATAGCACTAATGCTGGCTGTTAAAAAAGACGTGAAAAAGACGGTAATAAAATCTCCATCGTGGAGGATGGAACGTGGTGTTTGTGTTGCTGCCCGTTTATACTGCGTGCATCCCTTGCAGCATCCTACTTCAATAGGAGTGATGCAACATAAAACTCTCAACATCATCATTTATTTCTGATTTTTTTTTTTGCTGTTTATATTCCAGAATCTCCTTCCAAACCTAAGGTGTATTTAATGTTCCAAAGCTCCAGGCAGTGGTCAGATGAAAGCAACCCCACGTGCTTTAATGTGTTTAACATGTACTCTCAGTCTGATGCAACGCAGTCTTTAATAAGATGAGGGTCATTACACTGTGACCGGCTCATCCTCAGCCGGTGATACGACCGCCATTAGAAGAGGCTTCGCTGTCAACGTTTCCTGGAGGATGGTTGTAATTAGAATTACGGTGTCAGAAGTCACACGGTGATATTTGGTGGTACAACCGTGGTCTGCTTTATTATTTTTCATTGTGGAATAAAAAATGTATAAGAAGGATCTTTTTTTTTTTGCCATTGAGGCCAGTTGTCGGTCTGTTTGTCAGCCAATGCTTTTTTTTTTTTTTTCCCCAAACCCATTGTTAAGGTGGTAGCGGTCTGGTCATACACACTAACTTACTCTTCGCTTTTGATTAAACACACATTTTGGGTGAAATTATTGCATCGTTGCCAATCTGTCATCTGCTCAGGCTTCCGTTTTCATCCTGCAAAATAAGCGGCCAGGCGGTTCTCTTATCAGTGAGATGGCGGGAAGATGAACTGGGAATTAAAGTGAGAGATGTTCCATGGTGGCCCCAGCTCAGCAAACAGGTTGTTATTAAAAGCCTTGTAATAGGCTAGATCAGTCCGCTGATATGGCCTAATCCTCCAAGGGCCGCAGTCAAACCACTGGGAAATGGAGGCAGTGGGAATATTACTATAATACTATATAAGTATTACTATATACTCAGTGTATATACCATACTGCTATAATGAAAACGCTTTAGCTGCATCGTGTTTTTTCTGTTGGAAGCGTCACTCCAGACGCCTGGTATTTGACAGTAATTACTCGGTTCGAAGAAAACCAGTCCTGGCCGCCCACATCTATGGTCCATTTCCATTGTCACACCTTGGTATTTTTAGACCTGGTGAGTAACGTATGCTTTTGAAGGTGGACTCAATGAGAAACAGAGTCCATTTGAAGATGAGACTTCAGTCGGTGACATGAACCGTGTGTCACTAATTTTCAAAGGACGGTGGCGTCGAGCGCGCTCCGGCAGGACGAGAAGCGTCACTTTAGCGTCTCGGTCTTGAAGTCCTAATTCTTATTTAATTTGCGTTCTGCTTTGTGGCGACGGCTGCGAAAATGATAATTACATTGGCTTCTCTTCTTTATCTCACTTTGATGTGTTTGTGTTCGCTGTCGTGTGTGTGTTTTTTTTTGTTTGTTTTTTTGTTTTCTTAACCAGACATGGTCTTTTGTTGTGTAATTTCATTAGGGTTTGTTATCCTGTCTGTAAGTCCTTTTGTAGGTGGGATTATTGTTGAGCCCCTCCCTAAGTGGTTGGATTCAAAGCTAAGGTTTTTGAAAAATTCAATTGAACTTTGTTTCTCCTACAGAACTGTTTCATTTTTTTCTCAGTGCAGAAATGTTTATTCAAAAAAAAAAAAAGAAAAGAAAATATTTATGTGCCTTGATGAAAAAAAAGTGGGGGCCCGCCCCACAACTTTGGCAGCCAATGCATGCACTCAAATGAGTATTGCATAAAGCGAGAGAAGAAACCCTTTTAGCGGACCATGTTTAAGTTTGTTTTGTTTTTTTTGTCACTCTTCTTTGTTACTTTCTTCATCACCGCCATCTCTTGTTGAAACAGATCTTTGTTTCAGTTACTATTTCTGTCTGAGGGTGATAGACTGCTGGGAACAAGTTCTGCTGCTTCTGGAAATAGAGCCACGGTGTGAGCAGAATTCACAAATAAGGACCCTTGCAAATAAAAAAAAAAAACAAACAATAAAAAAAAAAACTTCATAGAGCTTTATAAAATAAAAGAAAGGGAATGGATGAGATTACCTGTGAACATTATCACTGTGGAAGGTAAACCCCACCCATCTTCACCTTCCATTTGTGATTTGTTTTTACCCACCTTGGGGGAAAAAAAAAACATTTCTAAATCTAAAGACACAATTAAAAAAAATGCTATATTTTTTTTTTCTTCCTCGACCTGAATGCTTGAGCTACTGTATGATTAAAGGTGGGCTTTGGGGTTTGTTTTAATCAGTGCTGATGCAGTCTGAGCAGAGCTTCTTGCACCTTCACTTTGAATCCTTATCGTGGCACTTGTTGCGCCCCCAGGCAATGAAAAAAAAACAGCTCTGGTTAATAAATAGCTTAGAAACATCCTCAGTACCACGGAGGAAGGCTGGGCCTAAGGGTGTTTGCTCAGAGTTTATGAATAATTTATGGCGTGCCCAACCTCACAAATCAGCCTGCATTCTTTATCTGTAAGACTCCACTGTAAATAAAGGTAAACACTGACCTCTGCGCTACAATAAGGCGTGGAAGTGTCCGCTGTCTTTCCGACCGAGGCTGCTGGGAGTAGTAGCTTCAGTATTTTATGGTGTTAATTTTTAATAACCTCCTCCATGGCGCAGGTCCAGTTCAGTTTGTACAGTTTCGCACGCAGCTTTTACTGTATTGAAATCTTTGTTACCAAAATCTGTTGCAGAATGGCTATCCAGGTGGACAAGTTCGACTTCGAGAGCCTGCCCAAGCCGTCCCAGGATGCGACTCGCTTCGCTAACCCCAAACAGCTGGAGGAGGAGCGCCAACATACCCAGGGCAGCCAGATCAACAGCAAGCTGGGCATTGGTTGGAGCATCATATCCTTTGAGTTTGACATCGAATCATGTGAAGTGACAGATAGCGGCATTTACTTTTTAAAAAAAAAAAAAAAAACAAACAAACAGCAAAGTCATCCATTGAAAACACCAACGTGTCACATGTTGCCATTTGTTGCCCAGTAAATTATTTCTCTGTGACTTTGCTGCCTGTAAACACTGCAGCAGCAGCAGCAGCCGCCCTGTAAAACCAGTGCTTGGGGCGAAAAAGCTTTTCTTTACAAAAAGGGAAAAACACCAGAGAAATAGAAGATTTGATTACGGCGTGTGTCACACTCCGAAGCACTCGCTTGGCCTCCAGCAAAATAATAGTCACTTTAATTTGTAATTTATGAGCCCCCACTAGTATTATTTCCCTTTATGGGAAGTCTTACCGCGATTCACTCATAGGAAAAGACTTGGCCGTGTAAATCATTGAAACGGCCGTGAGCAGAATGAAATGAAATAGCGTGTAGGTTTTGAAGGTTGTATATATAAGAAGAAGCTCCAGCTGGTGAAGGTGAAACAAATCGAACAGTGAAATTAAATCAGAAATAAAATATCAAGATGTTACAGTTTTAGGGCATCTGTCAGTTCAAACTTAGAGACTAAGATTTTAATTTAAGGACGAAAATCCTTGTTCCGAATATTTTTGGTGCAGACTGTCGGAGTTAGAGACCACATCCAACAGAGGATGCTCTAAAGAAAGTTTTTTTTTTTTTTTTACTACCATCTTATATTCCCGCCATTGAGCAAACTCAAAAGTACTGCTACGCTGAGAAAGATGGAACCAAATCGCCTAAAAAGTTTTTTTTTTTTTTTTTTTTGGTTCACCACGTCTGCAAAACTAAATATGTATCCATTTTTTTTCCATCATTTGCACCTGCGTCGTGCAGGAGAGGAGCACTCTTCTGCCGACTGTGAGCACTCCTTTAAAAAGGTTGAGGAAATTTCTGTTAAAAGCTTCCAAAAAAAAGGGGGGGCGAAATTACTGGAGTAATTTTACAATATTTAATTCCTGTGTTTTTGGGTGTGGAGGAGCAGCGTCTCAGTATATCTTTATAAATCCGGTACTTCATAGAAAATTCATACGCGCGGAATAGTTGGAAAAAGTGACAGACGGGTTTTTATATGTCAAAAGTTTGACCTCAAACGTGTCAGTGTAAGATGTGAGAAAGAAACGTCAATAATAAATCAAACAATCTGGCGGCAAAGGATATCAAAATGTTTGGAGAACGAGAACTCGCCGGTTCACCCCGTCTCACTGCGTAATAATCTGACGGAGCTCGCTAATTATGAACTGCGTTTCAAAGCGAACCTTTGTCAAAGCTTCACCGATAGGGGAGGCCGTGAAGTCAGATGGCGAGGCCTGTGATCATGCGGCCACTCGGAGCTTCTGGCGCCCAGCGGTCCTGCAGAGAGGCCTCTGAAGTAGAGATTCAGCCGTGGTCATGTTCCAGGTGATCAAAGCAGGGCCGCTGCCATTGATCATTAGAGTGAGAAGCAGGTGTGCGTTGTGACATGCCATTCATTATGAGTCAGACTCTCTGGTTTGGAAATGAATTGCTGCGTGTGCAGCCGAGCCGCTTCTCGGCGGGGCGGCGTTTGATTCCACTCTGCGTACTGTATACGCTCCCTCCGAGGTTAATAGACCCAGGTTTGGAGCTCAGGGCGCCGCTCGTCTCTCATATTATTCCAAATGTCAGCTGCGTGAACGATCGGACCGGTCCTCATCGCCGCAAATTACCTTGGTAATTGCTCTCCGACGGTCGTATTTGTTGTGATGCTACGTTCACACAGGATGTAGCCTATCCTGACGTCACGGTGGTGAGGGTGGGCCAAACAGATGCAGCACACAGTCGATGTTAGCACGGAGTGAAGTGCCGCTGCAGATTTGTTGGTGATTTATTTGTCGTTGGCTTTTTTTAAACCAAACGCACGTGAAAAAACAATGTTGTGTCGAAGCATCTTCTAAACTGCACCGGTCCGTCCTTGATGGCCGTATAATGAGGTTTACACTGAGGTTTCACTATTCACTGATTCACAACCGCTCACACACCGAAGAATCCATCGGACATATTGACTGCACACGCAGCACTTTTTCACACGCCCGATGTCTCCGCCAGGCAAAGCTGACAATACGTGACTGATTGTGATGCATGGAGTTATGACTGGGGTGGGTTGGCAGGATTTGAACTCCTGACCTTTGCCTTGTAAGAGGTTTTTTTTTTTTTAAATCCATAAAGAGACTGGTGATAAATCTGATAGATAGATAGATAGATAGATGGTAAGGACATCAATTTTTGCATATTGCATATTTGCACCACACAGTGTGGTAACACTCCCACAGAACTCCTCGGAATTCGTGCAAAACAATGACACAATTTCTGGGACTGGTAGTAAACACCTCTGTGGCCAATTTGGTGTTTGGTAAAAAAAGAGGAATATACGCACCAAAGCGTGTTTTAAATTCGCTTTCATTGACCATTAGATAATGCAGTTTGGTGGTCAAGCGTGTCCATTGTCCTTAACTCAGTCCACGCCTCCCTGCAGCGCCGTGGAGATGCCAGTGTGGAGGGGGTCCTCAACCAGCTGGTCCTGGATCATCTACAGCTGGCTCCTCTGCAATGGGGTGAGTCTATGCATTTATGTGTGTGTTTGTGGGAACCTTGTAGGGACATTTTCCCCATTGAGTAAGACGGTCTGTATTTATAAGGTATTTAATGCAACATGCCTATAAGAAGAAACACCAAATCTTTATAAGTGTGTGTGTGTCATCTGACTTTGGCTCATAGATGAGCTGGTTTATCTGCTAATTTCTGTTCGTCCGAGTGGTCTCACTGTCATCGTCAGCCTGTCGGTGCGTGGACCTCCGAGAACTGGCCTCAGGCCATGTTTTTTATTTGCATCCGTAATAGTCTGCATACTGTTTTTGAAACCTGGAGACAACAGCTTGGAAAAAAAAGCCCCGGTGAATCACAGGGGGATCCACCAAAAATTGTAGCCGCCCCGCTTCGGTCGTACCATCTGCGGTCATCCTCGCAAATCACTCCTGATTTACTGTGGGTGTTTGTTTTCTGAGATCCCTGTTCTTCTGCGTGCACGCTGCCAACGTTTTGATTAGTCAGCTGAGGCTGTGCTGCCTCTTGCGAAGAGAAATGAAACCTTCAAAAATGATGGGACACAGCGGTGGAGGGATGTGACTCTGTTGGGACAGGACATGTAAGGAAGATGAAAAAGTAGTTTGGGATCTGATTTACAACCTCACAGCACATTTGTTTTGGTTGGGTTTTGGTTTTGTCCTTGTGCTTTCTCTTAGAAACCTTGCCGTTAGATGCCGGAGAATTTAAACTGTTACTGATGCAGTATAGAGCCGGCAACCCTCCCTGGGTGTTTTTATGTAGTGTCACGGGAGAAACCTGATGCTTGTTCATGATTTGCTGCCATAGAAACCAATGAATATTTGATCATACAGGTTCCAGTAAACGATGAACATGGAAAGTGCCAGAAATGGGTTTTATGGGCTTTGTGTTTGTTTACGAGCTCATTATTATCATTGAATGGGGAGCGAATGGAGGCCATTAGTAAATGATTCCACCTCTGGGCAGAACAATCCACACAGTGACATCAGCAACCTGGCCGTAAAGTCCGATTTGATGGGATGGGACTGCATATTTACAGATAGAATTATACGTATTGTCACCAAAAGATAGAGCCACAAAAAAAAAAATTCCAGGAAGG